ATTTGGTTTTTCAATTGTGACAAATGGTAGTAACAAAAAAAAAATCACCAAAAAAACAAAACCAAGAATAAATACCAGAATAATACAGAAAGTCGTCGAAGTCTGGTATGTGAAATTAAACTAAATAAAATAGAAAAAGAATGTGAAAGACCGTTTTTATAATAATTTTTATTATAGCTTAAAAACAGTGTTAACGATAATAAATATGGTGATATATGTGGAAAATGAAACGAAAAACAGACAAACTAGAACGCAATGGATCAACACTCAACAATAATTGCATATGACGAAATAGCCAAACAACAGAGGAATGCGATTGGTGGCTTCGTGCACGTGACCTGGCAAACAGGTGGCTTTGGCAACAATCGCTTTGTGATAAACTACGGATGCTCATACATCTTATTTAATACTTATAGCTTATACATTAAGTTGCACTAACATTGACTCCAGCCAAGGTCGACAATAGGTATACAATTTATTATATATGCATTAACTTGAAAAAATAACTAAGAAAAACTATTTGATATTATAATGACATTAGTAATCGTAGTCGCGATGCAGTAAATAACAAAAAAAAAAAAATGTAAAATTTGAAAGTACAATTTATATAATTTTTTTATAACAAAGGTTTTATATGTAAAGATTGGGTTATGTTGTTTTTTGTGGATGTATTTTTTCATAACAGTTTATTTGAAATGTTCATAGTAGTGGACGTATGTATCTGATACGTAAAAAAACAAGTTAATATATTTAGTAAAGGTTTACAAGAGAAAAGGAAGTAAAAGGTGCGTTTTACTTTGAGAAGCTGAATCTTGATTTCTAACCGCTACATTTCTTTCTTTGGGTAAACGCAGTCGATTGTCGTAGATTTGTGTACAGTGTACATGAGCTAACTTTTTTTTAGTGGACTGACTACACCCTGTTGCAAAGTCTTGTATGTAACTATTTTCAGATAGTTACAAACACGAATGTGTTTTTAATTTATTCAAACCAGCAGCGATTGATTGAAAATTCATCTTTTATTACTCAATTTCTACGTCCGCAAATTTCTAATCCTATTTTAGATTATACTTTTTGGCGGCTTTTTCATGGGGACATGACGTTTTTTATATATATATATATATATATATATATATATATATATATATATATGCGGTATACGAACTGGTGAAGAGAAGGGAAGGGATCTACTTGGAATCGGCTGATTTAAAAATCTACAGACCTCAACGGATCTAATAAAATAAGTATGCGTATGCCAATGCGACCCATTATATCACGAAAAACAGTGTACCCCACAAACTAAATATATATATATATACCCTGACGAGTGGATGGAGCAATTGCTGGAGAGGCCGTCTACGAAATTTTCCGACTCTAGAGAGTCGGAAAGTAACACCAATCGGCTAAGTTACAAACTTTATATTTGTAATAATTCTAATATATATATATATGTATATATATATATATATATATATATATTCACCTGAAGATTGTTGTAGTCGTCTGAAAATAACGAGAACGTGAAAATCTAATAACTTTGTTAAGTATTACTTTACTGAGTAGGTAAGTGCTTGTTTTTTGGTCTTTTTTTTTCTTTTTTTATTCGGGATTTTTTGTCTAAGGTGTCTGTTGGCCACACCACTCTAAAAGAGTATTACTCCAATATATGTTATAAAATTTAAGATATGTTAAAAGAAAAATGCATTTATTTAGATCCATTACTACTGGAAATTATTATAAATTTTAGTGGCATTTGATGATTTAAAAATATATTTCGAAACATTGTATAATATTAGTAGGAAAAAATGTTCACTTATGGTAATTAGCCTCATTCATCGTATCATTTTCAACAGAAATGGAAATAATACAAAAAGAAATTAGTAACATAACTTATTTACTTATGTGTTTATAATTGTAATAAGCATTGCTTCAGCTCGAAAAATATTAAAACAAAGATAACTGCAGCTATCTGTAAAACGCTATATAATGACCCGTATGTTTATCCATACTTTTTGTTGTTGGGATTACGTCATTGTGCTATGGGAAAATCCCGTTTCCAATGTAGATGTGGAACTCAACTGACTGGTATTCTAAAATGACGCATTACTTTATTTTATTTTATTTTTTTAAAATACTATTTACCCCGTAAGCATTTAAGTGTGACCGAATTTTCTGATCTAGAGGATAGAAGCTAAATAACAAATAATGTCGCAATTTTTATCATTCGTCGCAAACAACAATGTTGGTAGGTGTGTTTATTTCATAATGCTTTGTTTTCTTATTACTTTGCGAAGTTAAGTTCGAAATAGCAGTTCATAAGCATCCAGAAATTATATTTTCTGAAAAATACACACTACAAGATGAATAAAATTTTGAATCAGGAAAGTTATTTGTATCCGACAAATTAAATATATAGCCAAATTTAATGTAAAGTAAACAGTTAAAAAGATGAAGCGCTCATGACGTAACGCACTGATTATAACAATTCAGATCCAATGAGTGTTAGTTAATAAATAGAGTGATTGAATTAGATTTGTTAACGCTCATTACTAATCTGCATATCAAGATATAGTTAACTTTCCTGATTCAAAATTGTATTCATCTTGTGGTGTTTATTTTTCAGAAACAACAATATTTGGATGCTTATGAGCTGCTATTTTGAACTTCGCAAAGTAATAAGAAAACAAAGTTCCATTTTGGGGAGAGTACTGGCGAGGTAAATAGTCACGTTGAACTATAATTTTGAAAAAAAGGAAAATATTTCAAATAGGTGCCTGGTCAATGTTGAATGTATTCCCCAAAAGATTTCAGATATTTTGTTACCCCTCCTCCCCAAAAGACAAACGCTTTTTGGACTTAATCAACGACTAATGGTGGTGTCAGAAACGTACTTAGTAATTTTTTTTCGCGCTCAATTTGGTTGCTTCAAGATTTGTGGTTGCGTCAAGATTTGTGGGTGCGGCATTTAGATTAATTAGCATAATGAAGTAGCGTGCAAAATTGTCATTTTTTACCTCTCATTCCATTTGTGCCTTTTTACCTCTCATTCTACTTGGGCCTTTTTCACCACTCATTCCAATTGTGCCTTTTTTACTACTCATTCCAATTGTGCCTTTTTTCCTCTCATTCCATTTTACCTTTTTACCTTACATTTTACTTGAGCCTTTTTTACCTCTCATTCCAATTGTGCCTTTTTTCCTCTCATTCGATTAGTGCCTTTTTACCTCTCATTCCACTTGTGCCTTTTTTACCTCTCATTTCACTTGAGCCTTTTTATCTCTCATTCCACTTGTGCCTTTTTTCCTCTCATTCCACTTGTGCCTTTTTTCCTCTCATTCCACTTGTGCCTTTTTTCCTCTCATTCCACTTGTGCCTTTTTTCCTCTCATTCCACTTGAGCCTTTTTATCTCTCATTCCACTTGTGCCTTTTTCCTCTCATTCCATTTGTGCCTTTTTTCCTCTCATTCCACTTGAGCCTTTTTATCTCTCATTGCACTTGAGCTTTTTTATCTCTCATTCTACTTGTGCCTTTTTTTACCACTCATTCCAATTGTGCCTTTTTACCTCTCATTCCATTTGTGCCTTTTTACCTCTCATTCCACTTGTGCCTTTTTTACCACTCATTCCAATTGTGCCTTTTTTCCTCTCATTCGATTAGTGCCTTTTTACCTCTCATTCCACTTGTGCCTTTTTTTACCTCTCATTCCCCTTGTGCCTTTTTTTACCTCTCATTCCACTTTTGCATTTTTTATCACTCATTCCACTTGTGCCATTTTACCTCTCATTTCGTACCCAGAAAAAACAAAAATATTTAGATATCCAAACACTGTAAGAAGATTAATATAAATTCTCAATGTACCCAAATCTTCCAAAGTTATCGTTTCAAATTATCGATGCTCTAATATATCGGTTAGCATAAAAACAGGTTGAGACATGTCAAGAGTTAGATTTTCTATCGATATGACTAAAAACGCACAACGCATCCATGTATAGATACATTTCTCAAGCAACTAAACTTAAACTAAGTCAGACTAGATATAATATTTGACCCTTGTTTTTTTTCTTTTTTCAGAATGAACTTTAAGCTTATTCAGAACTTTAGAATAAGTTTTGTTTTACAATGTCAAGTCTTCCCCACCCCTGTTACGACGTAAAACGGAATTTCATTCAGTTTCTTTCAATTACATTTGAATGCCTGTTTGTAAGAGAGGAAAGACAAATAATGACTTCGATATTTTTAGATGAAGCGTTTCACCATAATGGAATGTCTATTAAACCTTTGTTGAGTTTTACCTCATGTCAATATTGTCATTTGATGTTTAGGTAAAAATTTGTAAGGGAACCTGCTGAAATCGTGTGTAATATTCTGAGTACTTTCAATCATAGCTGGTCATTTACAATTATTCACCATAATTATTACGAGTTTTAATTGTTTTTCCTGTGGCAACTCTCTTGGTCGGTACATTCTCAAACTACCATAACAAACGGAGCAAAATTCCTGATTTTACGCCGTTTATTGGTTGGTTGATTCATTTTTATACAGATTATTTAAAGTCAGAAAAGGTTTTTAGATTGTAAGAATTTTTTTGAGATAATAATGATTTAGCGATACAAGTCTTACTAATTAGCACAGAGATGGGAGGAGAAGAGGTAGGTTCATACCTTTTCCCAAGGGTATTTGCAGGTAAGTGAATATTACGTGCCCAACGGGAATTGGAACTCGGCATTCCGATTAACAATTCAGAGCCATTATCCATTACACCACCCGCACATCCAAGCTGAAAGGTTAAGTACTGACTAGACTCGACGTATGCAATTTTTGGGAGATAATAAGGATTTTCAGATATATACCTTACTATTTAACCCAAAACTGGAGGAAGAAGACGTAGATCCATACCTTTCCCAAGGGTATATACGCGTAAGTGAATTTAACGAGTCCAACTGGAATTCGAACTCGGCACTCCGAGCCATTATCTATTACACCTCCCGCACATCTAAGTTTACAGCACCTGGTATGCCAAGGCGTCACTCATCTACGTACTGACCAGGCTCGATGTTTCTTAACTTTGGTGATCGTATGGGAACCTCTGTTTTTGCCCTGTTTGATTTAGCAGTCGAAGAGTGTATAGACTTAACGTGTTGTGATAGAATGATTGATTTGTTTTTTTTATCAACCCTTTGTGCGTTATTTAAAGTCGAAAGATATTTTTGTATTGTAACTTTTGAACGCTATTCTTGATGCCGTATAGATTTTCATATGAAGAAACAACAGTTTACAAAATAGATGAACAATTTTTAAAACTATTTCCAGAAAAAAAAAAAAAAAAACTATTTCACATTAGTGTTGCCCTTGTAACTGTCATCATCGCAATGACACTATTATGTTTTGAATTATTTTTTTCAAAACATTTGTATTTGAAAACTTTGAGTACGTTCTGTATTTATCATTTTAACTAGCAGCCATACCCAGCTGGTCGATCAGAAAAAGTGTTCAATTAGAAAGGAGCAAAAACATCATCATGTTTAGATGTAACAGAGTCTATTGTCAGTTACTTTAAATTTTGAATTAATGCAGTTAATGATATAACAGAAGTAGTCTATTTATTCAATCGAAGTTAGCCGAGGACATGAAGGGGTAAAACAGGCAACATGAAGAACCACTTCAAGCCACAATTATTTTGAAGTTTTTGAAATTCAATTTGTCAGTGTTCTACCAGGGATGTAAAAGAGGATACATTTATAAAGCAATTGTTAAGTTTGATGAAAATTGGTTGAAAGATCAACGAAAAATAAGAAAGAAACCGGTAAAAGTCGCCATTTTTCGCTATTTACGCGGGTTTTCACGATATGGGTGGACTCAATTATCAAATTAGATGACTGTTAAACAATCAAATTATTGTTGGCTACAATTGAGTGAAGTTTGCATTAGATTGCTTGAAAATTGAGGGATATTTTAGTTTAAAATTGTGTTGAATCGATTTGTGTTGAGATCGATTTTTCGTTTTCGCGGTTTTTCGCTAAACGCAATGGTGTAGAAATAAAAATGAAGTATCGTTGAGGTCGTCATAATCTAAGTAACCTACATACTGAGTTTGAACGAAATCGAAGGAAAAAAGTTGAATTTCTCGATATTTGATCGGCTTTATTGATTATTGATTTTAAAAAAAATTACGATTTTTTACGCTAAGATCTTATCTCTTATATTGTACAATGTATTGCCAAATTTGGTTAAAATCAGTTGGATGGATCTCGAGTAAAAAGGTAGCACACAGACATCCTCTTTTTTATACATATAGATTAGAACACATTTTTTGTTTTTCTTTAGTTTGAGTAAGGTGGCTAATAATGTGAAATTTGGAAAACCCATTAGAATTGATGAAACTTGTCACATCGTAAGAGTGATATGTATTCTACTATAATCTATACATGTGTGAAATAATCGGGTTCTCGTTCGATCACCGAAGTCGAGTCTGGTCAGTATCTAGACGAGTGACCAATTGGCTTACTGTTGTAAGCTTGGATGTGTGGGTGGTGCAATCGTCTAATGGATAGCGACTCGAAAGTGGAAATCGGAGAGCCGAGTTCAAATTCCAGTTGTGTTCTTTTCACTTACGCGCAAATACCATTGGGAAAGGCATGAATCCATCTCTTTCCCAGCTATTATTATCTCCCCACAGAAATTCTTACAATCTTAAAATATTTTCTGGCTTTAAATAACCTTGAAAAAGTTGATAAGCCGTAAAAATAGGGGAAATTAAAAGTGGCTAGTAATATGGTAGGCAGTGTATATGGTTGGTTATTATGGCATTATTTTGAGCAATTATTAAAAGAGATTCTGTCATTTAATGTTTTTGTCGACCTTGCCATGTCGATTTATCTTCTAAAATCTCCAATGGTAGCTAAATCAGTTATGGATTTTGTATCTTTTTTTGAGTTCTCGCTGTTGTGGCTATTGTGTTTCTCTTAATCGTTCTGCTCCTTGTCATCCAATTTGGTTATTGTGTGCAGTCTTTCTTTGTTCAGTTTTATGTCGACAGTACTCACTGCTGACTAGAGCAATTCCCCCTTCTTTTGTATTTTTAAGATACAACTTCTCGTCTTTCTAGTATACGGCCCTATCTATTGTCATTGGTTTCCTTGTTTTGTGGTCACGGTTTCTGGCCCGGAGCATCACTCAATGAAAACTGTCCAGCTATTCATTTTAATAAAACTTGGAAAATTTGGTCTCAAAGATTTTTGGTGTTCTTTTGTATGGTACCAAACACATCCAAAAATAACTAAACTGTCGGTTGTATACAACCACTTTCTCAGATCGATGGTTAAAAATGGATGCGGGCGAGTGGAGGGTGTAAGTCACAGCGAGGACCATCTTTTTTCGAACTTAAGACTGGCGTTAAGCAATCAAAGAACTGTACCAGATAAGAAAATCAACAATACTTGAGGACTTTCACCAGAAGCAACAACTAAAATGGATAGCACATGAAAAATTAAAATCTAAATCTGTTAAGATGTGTTTCTGTTACCTCAAGCAGCAAGGTTGGGAATGTTACCCTCGTCAGTATTTTAAAAATGTTAACAGCTGTTGAAAGTCCATTTTCCTGTGTTGTAACCCAGGAAACATGAATAGAACAAATCAAACGAAGGACCCTAATGAACGATAATTAGGACAAGAAAAACAAAATTTAAGATCATCCAGCAGCGTGTAGAAGATTGAAGTCTAGAACTTTTTTGTGAGTCAAGTGAATTACTGAATCTTAATGCATGCTCCACGCGGTCAGATGACAGAAAACCAAACAATTAATGTGTGGGGTAGAGGCCCGTAGGCTCGAATAAAAAGATTCCGTAGACCTATATAAAACGGTGTTGGATTGGCTGTATCTGAGACGAAGATTTTGCCATTCGATGTGGACTTCTGGGGATCCTCAATGCCCAATGTTTAAAGTTTTTGATATCACAACTGGAGACGAATCTCCAATTGCAAAGATTTTTAGTAACCAAGAACGCGGTCAACATTATCAAAGCCGAATTTAATGTGGGGTAATCCGAGCCCGTACTGTACTAAAATTTCTATTTTGGCGCCTGCAATATTTTCAGGATAATTTTGAAAAAGTAGTTGATCTTTACAAAGATAAAAGTCCTTTCGTGCATCCTTCTGTTCTTGTGGAACAATTTTGTATTTCTTTAAAATGGAATACCAGGGATTCTTTCAACGAGTCTATCAATCTTTTCCAATCAATTCGAGGGTTCGACAGACTGGATTGTTATTGATCTATACACTTTTTTTTCAGATTCAATGTCTTTGTATTTGGATAGTTTTTCTATAAGATCTTCAAAAAGTACATTCCAGTCTCCGGGACTTTCATGTCAATTAACAATTAATTTGTCTCTGAGGTTCTAAAGACGATGTGATTAGCTTGGGTTTTCTCTGATTGATGAGAGATGACAGAATTTGAAATTGGGCACCTAACCGATTTTGGTGGAATACAAATTTCTTGTAGTTTCCTTTCCGTAAAAGATGCATATTTCCCGTGCAGATATTACTTTGTCATGCCGTGTTTTATATTCAGTCAGTGCCAATACCGTGCAACCTTAGATGATCAATTGTTTTTGGATCCATCACAGAATCTGCATTTGGACTAGCACAATTCTTCAGTATGTGTGCTCTATAATTTCTGCAAATTGTCAATAGATTGGTTCTGACAGCAAAAATAAAACATTCGGTTTCCAATTTCAACCCTGCACTACGGTAGCCACTGATGGTACAGGGTTTGTCTGAATCATTTTTTTGATATGGGCAAGATTGCCTGTGAACCTACATCGTTTTTCGTATCGTTTTTTTTTTTTTTCTTTTAAGTATTTTGCAGCTTCAGTTTTGTTTTAATATTTATTTCTTTTGACTTGGAAACTCCATTTTGAATTTTTGGCATTTTACTGAATAATGTCATCTCAGCTTTCATGTTCTTTGACATATCATCATTCAACCTTTTTTTTTTCCAGGTATCTTTTCTAATTAGTTGTAGTTTTGTGACAGTTCTAAAAAACTTGATTCTGCCTCCTTCGGATCTAGCAATACAGACAATCAACATCAGATTTGGGATGAACATGGATGGGTCAAGTAACATCTTTTTGGTTTTGGCGTCCATTTAATGCCAGCTTTGGCCAATTTTAGAATTTGTTTTCGGGGGTTCATCATAGGGACAGCCAAATTGTTTATGGATGATATTCTTTTTTTAAATTCAGCTTTAAGAATTTGAAATTTTTACGCCTGTAGTACTCCCTTTTTCTTATCTTCTCCTTCATTTGGAATGCTGTATTCCATCTCCTTCGCTAATTCCTATGTACTTATAGGGTTGCATCTTGTTCCAGTTCCTAATCTTTCTGCAAAAATAAAATCTGTATTGATTTCTGTAATGCTCCCTTTCTTGAATTAACTTCTGCACATTTATCTAATCAAAAGTCCATGTCCTATGTCGTCACCTTGAAACATTTTACAATATTGAGTAGACCCTTCAACTCATTGTCTTTGGCAAAGAGTTTGAGATCATCCATGTAGAGTAGGGGATTGAATACTTTCTTGTTTTTTGTAACCATAGCTATTACTGTTTAATTCATGCGTAACGGGATTAAGGACAGATAAAATTTAAATGACAGAGGTCTAATTAATATTCCTCGTCGGATAATTAGTTAAAGATAAAGTTGCCTCTGGTGTGATTTTTGGTATAATGTGGTTTCCAAATTCAATGCCGTGTTTAAAGACATTTACTATCACGGGGAGACTTTGTACATTTCAAAGTTTTAAGTATCCAAGAATGTCACCATTATCAGGCTTTTACAGTAATCTATCCACCATCACTAAACCATTTCTATATCGTCTCCTGCAATTTTCAGGATAATTTTGTTTATCAGTAGTTGATCTTTTGCAACCATATGAACATTTCTGCATCCCTTCTGTTTCCAGTGGAAGAATGTTGTTTGTTTATAAGTACGCTTCGTCAGGACAGATGATCAATTTATACGTGGTCGACAGACATATTTATTATCTATAATTTTCCGGATCATCTGTTTCACACGTTTTTGGCATGAGATATATAAGACAT